TTCTGAGCAACAGCATATTAATATATGCTTATTTGAGACTTTTTAAAAATAATATACACATTTAATGCTGTACACTTTTTTCTAAGTACTGTTAGCTGCACTCCCAGGATTCTGACATTTCATATTTTCATTTTTATTTAGTTCAAAATACTTTTTAACTTTCCTTGAGGTTTATCTTTAACATATGGAATATTTATAAGTGTGTTTAATATCCAAATATTTGGAGGTTTTCCTGTTAATATGTCACTAATTTGTGGTCTAATCCAATTGTGGTCAGAGAATATTCTTTGTATCATCTCAAATTTAAAGAAATGTTCAAGTTTGTTTTATAATTAGATATAATCACTCTTGGTAAGTGATTCATGCTCACTTAAAAACCATGCTTCTTCTTTGTTTGGATGAGGTGGTCTATCAGTTAGATCCAGTTGATTGATGGTGATTTCGGTTCTTTCATAGCAAAAGTTCTCAACTGGAGGTGGTTTTGCCTTTCTTCCCGCAGGGGATATTCATCCATGTCTGGAAACATTTTTGATTTTCACAACTTGCAGAAGCAGGTAATAGGAATATTGCTAAACAATACACAGGGTGAAAGAGAAATATTCAAGTCTCCAACTGTAATTGTGGCTTTGTCAATGCTTCTTTCAGTTATATCATTTGTTTTGCTTAATATATTTTGAATCATGTTAGTAGGTTTATACACATTAAAGATTTTCATGTTATCCTTGAGAATTACTATTTTTGTTATATTCAGCATCCTTCATTATCTCTAGTAATTTGCTGTTATGGAGTCTACTTTGATATTAATATAGCTAATTCATCTTTTTATTGATCTGAATTATCATGATATATCTTTAAAAAATATCCTTACCTTTTTGATTGTTACTGTCAACTGATCCTTTGTTGAAATATTTTCCTTTGTAATTATTAGCCAGGTGGACATTTCACTGCACCATCATTGATATCACCTACATGTTTGAAAAGTGGTGACTGTCCATACTGCAGACCACTAGAATGGCAAATCTTTAGGCTCTGTTAAAAGATTCAGGAGAGTTTGCTAGGTAAACATTAGTGTTGTATCTGTCAGACAATGTTGACAAACACACTGAAGTTGTGTTTCTACTCCAATTACTGTTTTTCTATCTTTCTATCTCTGGGTAGTTCTTTGAGGGCCTTACTGATCAGAACAATGGTAGACTGTTCTGTTGTAATCTAGGTTTATGTGTTCATACTGGTCAGTGTTTCTGTAACCCTTAGGTTCTCCCAATCAGCTAAACAATACATAAGATCTAATCTGCATTTGAAAGTAAGACCTGGAAAGTTCATTTTAGGGACCAGGGAAGACATGGCACTGACTTTTCCACTGGTATGTCTCAGGCACATGACTAATATTGTGATTAAATCTGAAAGACATGGAAGAGATGACTGATACTAGATGAAATTAGAAATGAAGTGATACAAGAAATTTGTAAAACCAAAAGCCCATCTTTTTATTTTTAATGTTATAGTATTATGTTTGAACTGTGTATCTGGGTGATAGCATATATTTGGTTCATATTTTCCTCCATTTTGAAAAACTGTTATTATTTGGCTAGTTTCATCATTTTTTTTTATTTAAGAGGAAAAAGAGAAAAACACAAAACAAACCAAAGCGGCGTAAGGGTACACGCAATACAGAACTACAAAACAAAACAAAACAAAACAAAACAAAAAACCATAACAGTAAGAAATTACCTGCTAGTAGATTACACACTATTTTCTTGAAAATAGTTCCTCAAATCACAGTATCAAAGAACACAAGGTGGACATTCAAACAGGGAGACTGCAAACAGCTGTGTTCAATGTTCCAAAAACATTGATAAAGTCAGCTATTTAACACCCCCAAACACACTTGCTGTTATATCCGTTAGAGCTCCTTTTCTTTTTTTTTTTCCTCTCTTTTTTACAACAAAATTTACACATCTTGGATTTTATTACTCCTTAGTGCTTATTACTTTCTTTGGGGGGGGGAGAATACAGTCAAATATGGCAAAACAAAGCTGTCAGTCAATACCAAGGATAGACGTAGCACATGGTGTAGAACAGAGTACAAGTTTATCAACAATGGTTATCAACGTTGTCCCTTGTTTCCTTAAAAAGAATTGTCTATCTTATTAGATATTATAAAGTTGGACAAAACAGTAGAGAACAAGACCAATAAAACTTAGGCATTGTAAACATTACAGGACTTCCAAAGAAGACAATAGTAAAACCAGAATGGGTATCTTAGTGAATCTTATTGTCTTCAAAGTAGTTGCCTATGTCTTCAAACTTGATACTATCATATAGAATGGAACAGAGTCTAATCAGTCAAAACAAGATCGTGGGAGTACTACAGGACTTCAAAACAAGTTAATAGGAAATCGAAAAGAGTTACTATTTATATATCCTAATTTTTTTGAATTTTTTCTTTAATTAAGACAAACATAAGAAATGACTAAATAATTTTTTTTTGAAACAATAAGGGGGAGATTGAGATAAAACAGGACATAACAATATAACAATAGAGGTCACAGCATGACTGTTTCAATAACCTAGTACTTCACCACTTTATAACCTGACTTAATAGTAGTTACCATAGTGTCTTTTTCCTTGAAATATTTGGGTAAAACTTCATATACTCTAGCTTCAAATATTTTCATATCAAGAAGCCCAGAATAAAGCCTTTCTAATTAATGAGTGAAAACTTTATAAGGCTTCAAGGCCACCTAATGGGGAATCATGATTACCACATATTTTTATATATTTGAATCATTACTTACATTAGGGAAACTATTCGGTATTCACACATGCGAGATTGATTTATTTCACTTATGAGTATGGTCTCAATATAATGTAATTATTGATACGATTATGTAAGTGCACTATTTCATTGTTATTTCTGCTCCTTCATTATTTAATTTCTCTTTACTATCTTTTGTTTATTTGAACTTTTTTCTCTTCTGTTTTGATTTATCCATTGCATTTGCCTATATATCTTTGTGTCTTTTTGGTCATGCCAAGAATATTATAGACATATTTAACTTCATAATTAGTTGCAAACAGTGTTTTACCTTTTTAAGTGGAACATAGAAACATTATCACCATATTGACCCCTATATTTTCCACTCTTTGTATAATTTTTTATATTATATATTGCATCTACATACGTTGAAAACCTCATCACAAGAAATATTTTCACTTTCAACATCAAATGTAAAAGAAATCCATATGAGAACAGCAGTCTGTTTTATTAAGAACTGCTCAGCTTCATTCTCTAAGAAGGGGAAAACCTTCCACATTGCTCCAAATCCCTGGTTATCCCTGTGGCCTCTTTCCTGCCCCACACATTAAGATTTCCTGTTGTTGTGATACAAGCTTTTCTCCTGGACCTTAATAACGCTCATAAATTCTGATATGGTGCTATTAAATGTGAAACTTCTCCTTGTGAATCATTGGTGCAATATTGTTTTTCTGAGGGGTTGTATTAGGGGTGGCAATTATCTGATGGAATACAAGTGTTCACAATTAAATACATGTGATTGGCTACCTTCTGTTGTCATTAGATGATGCTCGAGCTTAAAAGTCATCCAGGCCTTTGGGGGAGGGATTAGATAATTAACGTTAATTAGAATCCTCCTTCTCACCTATATGCATACATGTTTTAATAATGCTCCATTTGGCCATGGTGTGTTATAGCCTTTATTGCCTCAGAAATCTCTCTTTTTCTTTCTGTTTCTCTCTCCCTCTTTGTCTGTCACACACAATTTCATTATTGAACTATACAGATAATATGTATGCTTTCATCTGGGTTTTACCTAGAAGTGAACATTCTTAGCATGTAAGCATTAGTGAGGGTAACCAAACACTTTATCATACAAGGAATACTACTTTTGAAGCAAAAGGGGGTAATGGTACAAGTGCCAAGACAGCTGAACCCCATAAAAAGCATCATAAACAGTACTGTAGCTGAGGATGAATAACCAGCAGTTATTTGAACCACAGCAGGAGAAAACCAGTGCAATGGTTTTGACCTTAGAGAATTTGAAGACAGTGTAAGATCAGTCTTTGGGATTGAAATAATTCTGTCATTTAGAATCTCATTCCCAAGTTGAAAGAAATTTCCTTGAACATAAGATCTCATGTGCACAACTACTTCGCAGGAGAAGCCAGAGATAAGGAAATGAAAGCTTGGGAAAGGCTTACAAAAAGTTAAACATCATATAGCCAGAATTTGGCACAACTGACACTAGAATCTCGTCCTTTCTGATTTTGGATGGTAACTGGATGTTATATAGTGTTGTGTGCTGGATATAAACTTTGGTAGCAATGGATCAGGGTCCAAATCCCAGTTCTGATGCTATTTCAGCTCAGTGACCTTAGTTAATCAGTATGATTACAATCACAGTACACTTGTGAGGGTAGTGGCTTATGTTTATGCAATGCTTGTCATTTGCTGTTCTTGTACTGATTGCTTTCCCTGTGCTATCTCATTTATGCATCACACTAACCTCATCATGTAGGTACTATTAGAAGCCACATTTTGCAAATGGAAGAAATAGCTTTGAGCCTCTTTCAGCCTAGAAAAGTGCTCATTGCATGGTGAATATACAGTAAATATTGTTTTTTCTTTCTCTATGATTGTCAGGTTATGGTGTAACTCTTGAAACACTGTTTCATAATATTGTTCAGAAAGCTGTTAGGAGATGATCACCTTCCTTTTCTTAAAGTGAGCTAGTGTTTCTAGTTTTCCCAAAGTTGCAAGAATGTGTGTGTGTGTGTGTGTGTGTGTGTGTGTGTGTGTGTATATATATATATATATATATATATATATATTTTTTTTTTTTTTTTAATAACGTGTCCTCCCACCTTCTTGAAACCGTTTTGTACCATGCAGTGGTTGTGGCCATGCATGAGAAACAGCAGGTGGTGCCAGATGACAGATGGTGTGGAATCTGTTTCCCGGTGGGAGGGGGCGCGAGCGAGCCAGCGAGCAGGCAGCTGCAAGAAGAGGCGATCTTCCCCGCTTGCTCGCTGGCGCCTCGCTCTCAGAAGCTCGGGATCCCGCACACGAGGCGCTGTCCTTTCAGCACCACAAGCTAGGGGCTCTGGGAGGAAGGACTGCTGCTTGTCCTCCTCTTCAAATTGGCTTGAATCTGCTGCGACCCCCAAGAGTGCAGCGCAGTAAGTAGCCATTTGTTTTTGTTATAACCATTCTCCACTATCTTCTAAACCCTTTCCACCCCTGATTTCCCCTCAACAACCCTGTTTTGTCTTGACAAGAGAAATTCAGTTGCGCTGGGGTTTTGAGGGTGGGGTGGAAACACTGTTTGACTTCCAAGGGAGCTGAACAGGAATAAATGTGATTTGTTTATCTAGTTGGCAATCTTGCAGTGCAGGGGCAGCTAACTTTCCATGGAACAACAATAACAACAAAAAAATGGCCCTTTGCTATTGAGGAAATGGAGGCATTCCATAGCTGAATAACAGGATCAGGCTCATGCCAGCTCCCCATTTTTAAATTTTGTTTTAGGAAACTGAATCTAGTGTACAATCTACATATGATGTAAAAGGGTGCACCTAGAGATAGTGCATGTATTTATTGTGCTTTCGGGGGATTGGTGAAGAAAAATCCATACAATAAAATAACAAACCAGATGGTGAAGTGAAATTTATCTTACTGCAGGATTTCATTTTGCACTAAGATTGCACTTCCAACTAGGATTATATGAACACTTTAACTGTAGTGTCTTGGGTATTTTTAAGCTTGTATTTTTTTATGTAGGTCTGGGATTTTCCCTGGTTCCACCCATTTGAGGGCTGATGAACCCAGTGGTCAGGTGGCATGTTCTGGTGATTAAAGAAGTTTTACTGGACAATGGAAATCATGTCAGGAAATCTAGCGAAGATCGATGACTGATCACTAGATTGAAAACCACCCAAGTGGAGCTGTTGAGGACAGCATTATTTTCTCTGTCATCAGCTCTCTCCTTTCCTGCCTCACCTACTGCTGTAACCAGAATCCTGCTGCTTGCCTTAGGTCTGGGAAGAAAGACGTAAGGATGGTGAAGCTGAACAGTAACCCCAATGAGAAGGGAACGAAGCCACCTTCGGTTGAGGATGGCTTCCAGACCGTTCCTCTCATCACTCCCTTGGAGGTTAATCACTTACAGCTGCCTGCTCCGGAGAAGGTAAATCAGGTGCTCTTCCTCTCATCAGCCTCTCAAAATCCCTCCATCCAAGGAAATAAAACAGCAAAAACCATTCCACCTCAAACCCTTTCATTCCCTAATCAGCCAAATATACTCCCTCTCTTATAAAATGTAGTTATTGTTTCCAGAGACATGACAGCTCTTTTGTTATTTTAGATTTATGATGTTTATTTTTGGCTCAAATCTACATACATGAGTGAGCAAATTACCCTTTCCTTGTTAAAGTTTTATCATAGCAGATGAATACAAATAAGCTCCTAAATGGTGACAGAGAAAAGCCTGTCTTGATTATTTTTGAGAGGTGTTTCAAAAATTTGCTGGTGTAGATTTTGGACAGAGAATTGGATTTAGTCCAACAAACATTCAGTTTGGACCTGCTCAGATCTTGTCCCTATCCTATGAGTTGGTTGTAAAAAGCAAAAATACGAAAGCCTTCTTCTGTATGACAAATGAATGTGATGCATCATGTAAATGCTATGCCTGAGCATTATAAAGCTGTGAGAGTAAATGCATGGAAACAATTAAATTGTGTCAGGGTTGGAAGAGAGGGGGATTTTGGGATAGGACTGGTAGGATAGGTTAGATAAGCTGCAGAAGGGAACATTTGAACTGGGTTCTTGAAGGTGCTAAAAACCTTCCAGGTAGACCATGGGGAAAAATATAATTAAGTCAGAGAGCATGCATATGCACACCTGGGAAGCTTTTGGGGAACAGCATGACTGGAGTAGAGTGTCTTTGGGGGAGGCGTGGCTGGGAATGAGTGACTGGCTGATGGCACATCTCCTGACATGGGAGTAGTCCATGAAGAACGGAGGTGGCATTCATACAAAGGTTGGGGTAGAGGGTGTTGTGCCATGTACAAAGATGGGAGAAATATTGTCATTTAGGATCCACCTGAGAGAACTTGCTATTTTGTAATATGAGCTTGTGCATATCATAAGAGAGAGAGAGAGTTTGGAGGTAAATGATGGAGTTCCCTGGCTGAAGAGTGAACAATGGATCATTCCATCTGTTTGATTTTCTCATTGGCATGTCTAGGAAGGCATTGTGTGTCTTAACCAATTGGCTACATCCAACCAACAGAAGAGGAACCAAAGCCAGATAAAGAGCATGGCTGATTGGTTGGGGATTGAGTCATTTGTTTTGAAAGTGCAAAGGTTATCAATATGAGAATGTGTCAGGATGAGTAGCAGAAATAAAGAATTCTTGAGCAGTCCTGAGAAACTGATGAAACCTTTAAAAATAAATTCTGAACATACAGTTAACACTAAAGAAACATGAAGAGATAGTATTGAGTACTTGTTAGATATTTATCAGACATATTTTCAATTACATATTAGAATCGTGAGGATTTTAAAGTCCTGATATCTGGATCCACATCTTAGAATAAGTGTATCAGAATGTCTACAGTGTGAGCCAGGTATCTATATTAATGATACTTCCCCAAGTGACTCGTACCTGTATTCAAAGTTGAAACCACTGTTTTAGATGGATGATACCCCTGTATAGTCAAGAGTTATGAACATATACAGTTAAAATTTGGTGAATTATCCAAGTTACCAGAAGGAGTAAATAGAAATGTTACAGTTTGAATCCAAACATAAGAGGAAACTGGACTGGAGAAGGAGGATATTGTCTTGAGGTTCTGTGAGGCCAATACAAAGCTACAGCTTTGCAGCCCTGAGCGATGTGCAATGAAAAAGGACTGTGATGAGGCTGCCTTTCTCCCAACCATCCTACAAGAAGAGATGATTGTGATCTCTTTCTTCTCTTCTCTCCCTGTCCACCTGAGATTTTTTTCAAATGAAGAGACTGACCCAGCGTTTACTCAGCATCCCATCCAGCAGAACCAGAAAGCCACCCAAAGTGTGAACCATAACTATCTTATTTCTATGGTCGGATGTACCTGGGTGGAAATGGAAACATGCATCTTAAAAAGTGCTGTGGGTCCCACTGTGACTCCAGATTCCTAAAGGGACACATTGGAACAGGGGCACATTATAGACTCCCTCAGACTTACATTGAAAAAAATCTTTCTATGAAGTCGAGCTTAGTTTTATCTTCTGTGAAGTCAGGGGAATCACACCTAACTTAAATAGTCAGAACAAAGACAGATGTGGCCTCATTTATAAAATTTCCAGTACAAAATTGACCATGAAAGCACAATGGTTAACATTTTCCAAGTGCTTCCTCAATGTTAAAAGATGTCCCGAGGCATATATACATGTAGAGACACACACATATGCATGAGCACGCATGCACTCATCTTTCATTCTTTCAAAAGTTAACAGAACCAAACAAAGGAATTGTAACTTTTAAAAATCCAAATTGTAGAGAAACTCAGACACAGAGAAGTAATGTCAACTCCAAAAACAAAGCATTGGTTATGGACTTGGCAATGTTGTTCCATCTAGAACCTTCCACATCAGCAAGAATGAGGAGTGAGCTTGCCTGAGAATCCAGAGAGTTAGTCTCTGGCTCTAACTTAGTCACAAACCCACAGTGTGCCTTGATTTTTCTCCCTTAGGTGTCTGAAGTGAGCTTTAGTGCATCCATCTCACTAAGGAGGAGAACAAGGCTCTGGTCAGTGGAGAGATCCTTCAGAATTCCTCGGATTACAGGCAGAGCAGCCAGAGTAACTGTTTCTGACACCCCAACTTTTTCTTTTGTATCATTCTAGCTTCGGTGCTAAGAAACCCCCCTCCCTGGGAGAATGCTTCCTCAAACTCTATGTTCCCTTTATTTTGACTATAACTCCTTAAACTTCCTCGCAGACAGACTCCTGTACATGCAGTTGAGGCCTTGGGGGTGGCCTCCCAGAAAAAAATGTCACCACTTGTATGTTTTCTCCCTGTCTAGTAATGGAGATTGTCCACCTTGGAAGAGGAGATGGCCAGCCTCAGGATGATCATCTGCCTCTGCTATCTTTACTTAATTCTCCTCACTACTCCCGAGACTCCTCAGAGTTATAACCAATCCCCTCCCATGGAAACCTTTTTTAGTTTTTTATTCTCACAAGGTACCATCCTCAGGTCTTCACCTTGGCATTCCAGGTCCTGAATTGTCTAACTACTGACTTCCATTATTTTGTTTCTACATTGTCCCTTGAACACCAGCATGTCACATCTCTCTAGAGTGGCAGTTTTCAGTGTGGGAAGAATTTTGCCTTTCAGGGAGACAGTTAACAATGTCTGGAGACATTTTTGTTGTCACAGTGAAGGGGTAATTCTACCGGAATCTAGCGAGTAAAGGCCAGGCATGCTACTAAATATCCTACGATGCACATGACGCCTTCACCTGCCGTCTCATCCAAAGAATTGTTCTACCCAAATGTCAGCAGTGCTGAGGTTAAAAAACCCTGACCTAGACTTTCCTGCATTCTCAGGGAGTTTTGTATGCCTCATCCTCCTTGAACATGCCCTTCTCACCCTTTGCTGTCTGATAAGACAGTACACATCCTCTAAAACTCAGTTCAGATAGTAGATGTACTGCACAGCTTTCTTGACCACCCGTGACTATAGCTATGGTGTTATTTATATGCTGGAATGTGTGCCTCCTTCTTTCCCTTCTCCCTCCCTCCCTCCTTTCCTTCCTCCCTCTCTTCTTTCCTTCCAATTTTGTTGTGTACCTTCTATGCATAATCACTGTTCTAGACTATGTATATACAGTCAGTAAAAGACAGTTTGGCCACTGACTGCTGTGTCCAGAGGGGAAGAGGAGTTTCAAACAAGTGATTGCACAAGTAAAACTTCATAGAGGCAAATTACTAGAAGTGCTTTTGAGAACAAAGAAGGTACTATAATGTAAGAGAGGGTAAAACTGAGGAGAATCTAATTGTGATGGGAGGACGGTCAGGGAGGTGTTTGTGAAGAAGCATCCCTGGCTGAGTGAGGTAAGGTGGGTGAGGCAGAGGGCTAACATGCAGGCATGAGCTACCCCAAGGAGGGTAGCGGAACAGTCAGGGAGCCGGATTGACCAGGGATGCCAAGAGAGGGGTAGAGAGTAGGAGATGAGGTGGATAGGTGCAAGTCATGGTGTACAGTTTACTTTTTGAAGGAATATAAAGAGTAAAGGATCTTAGTCTTATTTTAAGAAGTGTATTCTGAAAAAAAAAAGAGAAAAAAGTGTATTCTGACTGCTCTGGACCACCCAAGGGGACCAGGGATGCACAGGTTCAGTTTTATGATTGGTATTCAGGGCTCCTTTTCTTCTTTTCTCCAATCATTCTTACTTGTATCACCAGGACATTTATCCCTGAAACAAAAGTGGCCTGTTTCTTGTGGCTGCCCCCCTCCAAGGACAGTGGAAGAACAGTGCAAAAGGAACGGTGCCCGCTGGAAGAGCACTGCTGTGTTAATGGTGGTGGTTGGGGCTAGCGTGGTAGGACTGGGGACTTGGCTGGATTCGTTGGTGCTGCTTGGCTGTGAGGTACTTCAGTCTCTCTGCTCCACTTTCCCACTACCTGGATCACCTCAGGAGTTTCAGTCCTGACATGCAGAGGCAATGAGAAACACTAGCTGAAGGAGGTAACCTCTTCCCCGTCTAGTTAAAACTGGCCTCATTTCCTTCATTTGATATGTGGAGAAATAGACTCAAAACTAAGCAGGTGAGTGGGCTTCTCTAGAAACCAGGAGCAAGCTTTGGAGAAGCTGGGACATTAATTGTTAGACATCCATATGCTGGGACATGCCTTTGGGGCCTTAGGGCCTTTCATTTATCTAAGTAACTACAACAGCTCATATATTGCCACAGTGCATCTGTGAGGTTTCTACCTTTATTCAATAGAGGTAAAAAGAAGGCTCAGAGAGGTTACTTGCTGTTGTGGGACACACCTAGAGAAACTGCAGCCATGACCCACATGCAGGTGTGCCTAGAGATGCTAACTAATGGATGGCAGGTCTGCAGAAACAAACCACAGATGGTACAACTCCACCTTGGCAAAGGCCCAGGTGAATTGTGTATGTGGCAAGCCAGCTGCC